AAATAAAATCTTTAAAAAATTTAAAAAAAACTAAAAATAAATTAAAAATAACTTTAAAAATAAATAAAATTGGAGATTAAGGAAGAGTTGGCCTGATTCTGCCTTTTTACTCAAATGTCAGACAAGGGATAGACATTCAATGGCCTATGGGACCCTCTACCTACAACCCCAGCCCTCACCCTCCCCGCGCATTGGCTGTGTGTGTGTGGGGGGGCGGGGCTGGGGGGACGGGGGAGTAGGGAACAGACTCCGCCCCACGTCACCCTCCCACCCTTGGCTCACGGAGTCAGCGGGACCAACATCCTCTGCGAGTGGGCATTCCGCCTCACCTCTTGGTGTGTGTCTTCAGCGGCCCTCCGGATGGAGACGAGTGCCGAGTGCCGCAACGCTGCCGCGGATGCTGCCAGCTGCCTCGACAGGTGAGCGTGTTGTCTCTGGCCTTGTGTAGGCTGACAGAAGTCTGGTTTCCATTCCAGCAACCCCTTTCGAGTCACCACGGTGGCTAGAGTGTCCAAGGAGCGGGTTTTAGTCTGTAAGGAGGTAGGTCTGTCTCTCCCCTTCCCGGGGCGGATGCCTTTTTCTCCCACTGCGCTTGCCCAGAGCACAGACCCCTCCCCCAACCCCGCCTTTCTGAACGCCTTTTCTGGCCATTGGCGGGACGTTGGCAGGGACGACCATCGGTGAGAAAGTCTTCTCCAGTGTTCGGAGAGGGTGCCTTGCAGTACCAGACGCCCCCGCCCCCAGCCACTGCCCTTACTCTGCATGTAGTGGCCACTGATAAGGACACTGTGAACAGAGCTGTGCTCCTTTGGGAGGGGTCCACTGCCCCGCAAAGGCGCAAAATGCAGCTCTTTCCCTAAAAAAAGCATAAACAAGCCAACAGTGTTCTGGTCAGCCTTTTTAGGAAGGTATCCCACCCATAAGAATGAAACACACTTGGTCTATATATAATATTAAAACTTTACATTACCAAACAATAATTACCTTAGTTAGAAATTGAGCTGGGGTAAAGAGACAGGTTGAATTAACCCTTTGTGGTAGCTGAGTGCCAGAGTGCCAGGCCAGTTGGCAGAAGTAATGGATCATGTGTCATGAGGTTGTTAGGAGATTTCATGAGAAAGTGTAAAAAACTTAGCATGTTGTAAATGATCAAAGTTTATTGTTTTATATTGCTGTTTTTTAAAACTCTTTCATATCTCATCATTATATGTTTTCTCCTAGTACTTTTATATTTTAATTTTTTGTAAATTTTTATTTTTAATTCACTGATTCTCAAATCTTTTTTATCTCAGGACTTCTTTACCCTCTTAAAAATTATTGAGGAACTCTAAAAGCTTTTGTTCATGTAGGTTATATATATCAATGTTGGGCACATTAGAGATTAAAACTAAGAAATTTAAACTATATTTATCTATTTAAAAAGAATATTAAATCTATTACATACTAATATACACCTTTTCAAATGAAAATAACTGTCTTTTTCAAAACAAAAATAAATTTAGTGAGAAGACTATTGTTATTTTAGACCTTTGCAAATCTTTACAATATCTGGCTTCATAAAAGACACATTAGGTAGCCTCTGAAACACTCCATGATATACACATAAGAGAATAAGAGTGAAAACGATAAGTTATCCCTTAGTATTTTTATGAAAATTGTTTTTAATCTTGTGGACTCTCTGCCAGGTTCTCAGTAACCTCCAGTGGTCCTCAGATCACACATTGAGAACTGTTGCTTTAATCCAACTGGTATATAATGTAAGACGTATTTTTTCTAAATAACCAAATCCACATACTGATATTTCTTTTTTCCCCCACATGAGATTTGAAATGCCATCAGTATTTGCTAACTGTAAAAAATAAACACACACACACACACACACACAGAGGCATTATATACCTGGGTTTGTTCCTAAGCTTTCTGTACTCTTTCTTGTTATGTTTCAGCACTGGCACCACTCTTCTAATTATTTAGGTTTATATTATATTATTTTAATGTCAGTAATATAAATTCCACTTCCCATTCTCATTTCATGTCATTTTAATAGGATTTTTATTCTCCATAACTCTACTGAAACAGCTCTTATCAAAGACACCAAAGACCTACATATTGCCAAAGCCAACAGCCAGTCCTCTGTCATTATTTTCACTTTTCAAATGTATTTGTCATGATTGGCCATTTCCTCCTTTTTGAAGCATTTTCTTTTCTTGGCTTCCATAACACCACACTTACTTGGTTTCTTCCTATTCCATTGACTACATATTCTAAGCTTGATTACCCTCTCTTATATGACTTTTTTTTTTTATTAGAGAGGGCGGGGAGGGGCAGAAGGAGAGAGAGAGAGAGAGAATCTTAAGGAGGCTCCATGCCCAGTGCAGAGTCCGATGCGGGGCTCGATCTCACAACCTTGAGATCATGACCTGGGTTGAAATCAAGAGTTGGATCCTTAACCAGCTGAGCCACCCAGGCGTCCCTCTCTTATATGACTTGTAACTGTTAAAATGGTTAAGTTATATCCTGGGCCACTTTCTCTTCTCTTTCTATTCTCTCTCCTTGGGCATTGCAAGTAATCACAGAACTTAAAATACCATTTAAAAGCCAATGACTCAAATTTACATCTCAAAGGAATAGCCATGACAATCATAATTAAAAAAGAAGAAAGCTGGAGAATTACACTATTGGGTATTGAGACCTATTATAAAACTGTAGTGATTAAAACAGGTGTAAAAATAGACAAACTGTTTAATGGAACAGAATGTAGTAAAAAAAAACCATATACCTACATATACACAGTCAACTGTTTCATGACAAAATGACACCATAGTACATTAGCGAATGGATACTTTTTAAAATGGTGCTGGCTCAATCAGATATCCAAGTGAGGAAAATTGTATCTTGACCCTTACTTCACATCATATACAAAGATCAATTTTAGATGTATTGTATATGAAAGGTAAATTGATAAAAGCTTTTAGAGGAAAACATGGAAAACATATTTATTACCTTGGAGAAGGCAAAGAGTTCTTAAAAGAGCTAACCATAAAAGAAAACAACGACAAGTTATACTATATTGTGATTTAAAACTTTTTATCAAAGATTCCATTAAGAGAGTTAAGAGGTAATTTATAAAGTGGGACATGATATTTGAGAGACACATAACTAACAAATGACTAGCATTGAGAATAAAGAACTCTCACAGATCAATAAAATGATTGGTAACAAAAAAGAAAGGGGTGCCTGGGTGGCTCAGTCGGTTGAGCGTCTGCCTTCGGCTCGGGTCATGGTTCTGGGGTCCTGGGATCGAGCCCCACATCTGGCTCCTGCTCAGTGGGGAGTCTGCTTCTTCCTCTTCCTCTGCCCCTCCTCTCACGTGCTCTCTCTCTCAAATAAATAAATAGTCTATTTAAAAAAGGAGAAAAATAGGCAAACAATTTAAACAGATGCTTCACAAAAGAGACTATCCAATGGCCAAAAAAGGAAGAAAAGTTGCTCAACTTCATTAGTCATTGGGGAATGCAAATTGAAACAGTAAAATACCATACACCCATCAGGATGTCTAAAACAAAAACAAAAAGTAAAAAGGAGAATGGTTAGTGAGGATATAGACTGCTGGTATTTTCAAACAGTACTAGCATGGGTGTTAATTGGTTTAAACACCTTGAAAAACTGTTTGATAGTATCTAATAAAATGATAAATTCATACCCTATCACTCAGCAATTACAGTCCTAGGTAAATACCCAAAAGAAGGTCATATGTAAGTTAAAAAGGAAACAGGTAATAAAGTATTTGTAGCAGACTAAAGTAGCAAATGAATGCAAATTACTCAAATGCTCATGACCAGTAGACTGAATAAATGTGGAAAATTCACCAATGTAATACTATATAGCAATAAAAAAGATAGAAAATATATATGGAGCTCACAAACACGTTGAGCAAATGAAAAGACACAAAATATATTCTCTATGATTTTATTAATATAAAGTGCAAAAACATATGAGCCAATACACGCTGTTTAGATATCAAGATAGTGATTACCCTTTGGGAATGAGAAGACAGGGTGTGGGGGCACATGGGATACTTCTGGACACTAGTCATGCTCTGTTTCTTTTTTTAAAAGATTTTATTTATTTGAGAGAGAGAGCACAAGTGCAGGGAGGGGCAGAGGGAGAAGGAGAAGCAGACTCCCCTCTCAGCAGGGAGTCCCATGCAGGGCTCAATCCCAGGACCCTGAGATCATGACCTGAGCCTAAGGCAGATGCTTAACTGACTGAGCCACCCACGTGCCCCATGCTGTTTCTTGATCTTGGTGTTGGTTATATAGGAATGCTTGAAACTTTGTTGAGAACTTTTAATATGTACACTTTACTGGATGTATATGATACTGGATGTCTATGATACTAAAATAAGAGATTTTAAAAAAAAAGATTTCTTATTTGAGAGAGAGAGAGAGAGTACATGCAAGTTGTGGGAAAGGTAGAGGGCGAGAATCTTCGAGCAGATTCCCACTGAGCACAAAGCCCAACGTGGGGCTTGATCTCACCACCCATGACATCATGACCTGAGCCGAAATCAGGAGTCGGGCACTTAACCAACTGAGCCACCCAGGTGCCCCTGATCTAAACTTTGGATATCATTGCTTACTTGTGATCTCCACTTAGGTATCTAATGAATATAACAAACTGGATATGATCAAACAGAACAGTTGAGTTTTCTCCACCTTACACTCTTTCAAATCCATTCTCCTCAAACATTTCTCATTTTAGTAAATGACACCCTCTTTCTTAAGCTAAAAACCTAGGAGATATTCTTGATTTTTTTCTTTCCTTCATAGTGCACATCCAGTCCTTCAGTAAGTCCTCTTGGATTTACTTCCAAAACATATCCTATTTATGATTACTTCTCACCATTTCCAATGTTAAAATATTACTCCAGGATACCACTATCTCTTGAACCTTGCTCCAGCTCTCTAGCTAGTTTTCCTGCCTTTATACCTACCCTTCTCCCGCCCACAGTGCATCTTTCTAAAGAGTAAATCACATCATATGACTTAAAACCTTCTGCTAACTATATTTTAGGGTACTAAAATAACTGTAGATGAGTGAGATTTTTCCTTTTCTAGTTAAGAATCTCACCTGATACATGGGGAAAGAATGAAGGATTAGAAAATCGATATTGTGTAACACTTGATGAGAAAATTTATTTAGGCAATGATCTTTAAAGGATAAAAGCAGTGAGTGAAGGATTTATGGGGGACTTTACAATGGAGGGATCAGGCTGCCATTGCATGACTCTTCTGATCAATCACTAAAAATTACAACCAGAAATTGAGTGTCTTCTCAAGAAGAAACACATAACAGCCTTTATATATATATATATATATATTTAAAAGTTGAACTTGAATCTGATTAAGGACTAGCT